CAAACGTTCACGATGTCTTAAGGGTCTTTAGGCCTAACTTCACTGTATAAGTGCAAAAGGATCTGATGACCTTTTATATGAGTTATTGCCCTTAAACTTCTTTGTACTTACTATTAAACCTTATAACTAGAAAACTATAAGTTGTAGAAGCATGCAGTAAATTGCATTGTGACCCTTGACCTTTGACCTTGAATATTTTCTCAAGGTCAAAGGTCAAGGTCATTCTTTTTTTTTTTTTCATTTTTTTTATGCTTTAAGAGAGTTCTGGTTTCTTTTTCATGGTATTTAATTTTTAGGAGTCAGGTATAAAACAAATTTAAAATTCAAAGAAGGTGGAAGACCTCTTATTGTTCTGTGAACAATAAGTCTACTAGTTCTTATTACATCTTTTAGTCTAGAACTGTTTGATAAAGGCTAAATGAGACCCCATGCATTGTGTAAAATTTTGACAATTGTGAACGTAAATATATACAAGTATGTGACCCAATGTTTCCATATAATTTCCGACAGAAAATAGCGGCTTCGTGATGTAGTGATACGTCTCTCGCTTAACATGCAAGAAGTCCCACGATCAATCCCGAGTGAACCTTTTTTTGAAATGCTTTTTTTTCCACTAAATGTTAGTATTCAGCATCATGAGATATGAAAAAAGAAATGAGGTCTGGCTTGTACAAACTGATAAAATCATCCTTACGGTGTGATAAATGTTCTATATAAAAAGAACACATAATAAAGGATAAGCAATCAAATCTTTATATCCATATTGGCATTATTTATTTGCTTCAATATACATGTACACATTTATTTAATAATTGTACAAATTCAGTCAGGGGGGATCCGCCCCCCCCCCACCCCACCCCAACTGCGCATGGTCTTCTTTTAACGGGGGACACAAAATCTCTGAATTAGCTTGTTATGACTAGCAATGATGCCTCTTTCAAAATCGTGAATTTCATGGCCTTAGATTTAAAACACAAACCACAGTCAATTGTTTGAAAGTTGTTGCGTGATACTCAAGTGACCTATACGGCCCGGGGGCCTCTTGTTATATTTTCTGTACTCTTTATCTCAAATGCAATGTATCCCGTAGATTAAACTTAAAATAATGATTGCATCGTATCAAATATATTAATATTTTCTAGAAATTAAGTATTATTTTTCTCACAAAAATCTATTTTTTTATTCATTACTTTATTTTATCTTGAGGTTTCTTTCAACAAAGCAAAATTTATTAAAAACAACATTTTTGTCTGAAGAATACATGAGAGTTTAAAATTTAATTTCAAAGTCAACAATATTGAATAAGTCAGGACACACATACATGCAAGGTAACTGTCTATTACAGGATACTGAAAATAAATCTGTACTGAAACAAGTAAACAATATGGATTAAACTGCTTTTTTTAACAAAAATAAAATATGACAAATTTGTAATAAAATGTCAAGTCTGATGATCTCTAGTTCTTGTGTCTGATCATCATCTGAGTCTGTTTTAATGCTTCTTTTTCTCTCCATTTTCTCCATACCGGGTATTGATAACGAAACAATGCAGACATAGCATACAGCCCATTTAGATTTGAGTAGTGAAAAGCGTTGTACCACCAGGCTCCGTGATATTGTGTAGCACAATTTCCACCATCACCGTCATTATCCTTATCTTTAGTTGTGAATTTATATCCATTGTGATAATCCATACTGTCACCTTAAACAGAAATTAGATAAAACCATAATTTGTAATATGATAAAGCAATAATCATAATATTGTTACCTCCAGCTAAATCACCTTTGACTGATTGATTGATTGTATGTTGTTTAACGTCCCTCTCGAGAATTTTTCATTCATATAAATACCGTAGCATACTGTAGATAAACCGTAGATAACTGTGAAAATGCTGTAGGATACAGAGAAAGACATGGGATTTTCATACGGACAGGGGTTTTAAAAGCCAGTAGTGATAGAGACGATAAGTATGATACTTGCGGGGCTCCCATTGTAAGTGTTTTATTTTTCATCTAATTGAGATTGATTGATTGATTGTATATTGTTTAACGTCCCTCTCGAAAATTTTTCACTCATATGGAGACGTCACCGTGTGCCGGTGAAGGGCTTCAAATTTTGACCTTTTCTTGGCACTCAGGGCCATTGAGCAGTGAGCAGTGCCAACGCCTGCCGCTGACACGGGGCCTCGGTTTTTAAGGTCTCATCCGAAGGACCCGCAACTTTCACTTCAAAGTGCCGAGCGCATGGCGAAGAAACAGTTGCTACCCATTTTATCGACTGGGTCAGTCACGGGTGAGATACGAACTCACGACCTCCCGATCACTGAGCGAGCGCTCTACCGACTGAGCTACCGTGAACGGTCTAAATCACCTTTGTCTAGGATTGAAGAAAACATTGTTAATGAATGATGTAAAAATAACGAACAAATACATGTTGTATGTAATATATATTTTACGATGCATACTAAATTTTTAAGTTAAAACTTGTATCAAAGCATTAATATAATATATAATGTGTACATATAAAAGGCTTGTTCTTCTATGTATATGAGAGAAAACTGGACATCACACCTCACTATTTTTAAATGGTACTTTTGCTTTTTGTTTAAAAAATTAACGGAAAAATGTCATGAACATTATTTGGTTTTAAGATTTATAACACTAAGTAATTAATGAATGAATTAAGTATCTACACGGGTAATACTGTATGTCATTGGTAAGGCCTTAAAGATTTTGAAGAGGCGTGTTTGTAAACGCGAAAAGGGTTCAATGCAGTTTTACATGCATAAATTGTGTTTCTATTTAATTTAATCCATTTAAAACATTTTTTTATCATTCTAAAGTGTGGAATATCAAGATATCTTTTTATCATTATAAAGTGTACATATATTAAGATAATATCCATTAAAATTGTCTTTATAATATGAAAAAGTAAAATGTGATGTCAACTATACTTTTTGGTGCCAGTCCAATAGTGACATATGGAACACTCATGACACTATATTCACAATTTCCAATCAGAACAGAATTCAATTCTAATCCCTTGTGACTACAGAACAGTATGTAACATTATTATGATTGATTTGATTTATTGTATATATTGTTTATAGTCCCATTCGAGAATTTTTCGTTCATGTAGAGATGTCACCGTAAAAAAAACTGAAGAATTTTTTTCACTCACATGGAGACGTCACCGTATACCGGTGAAAGGCTTCAAAGACTTATACTAGGCAATCAGGGCCGTTGAGCAGGGAGGTTTCTTTATCGTGCCAACGTCTAACGTGGCAGGGGACCTACTTTTTTTTAGGTCATCTCGTAAAAAGCCGTGACTTTCACTTCTAATGCTGAGCGCTTGGCAAAAGAACACTCACTATCAATATTTTCGTCTAAGATTTGACGCGGCACCGGGAATTGAACCCGATGCTCCCAATCACGAAACAAACGTTTTACCACTAGGCTACCTTGACCGGTTAACTTTATTATGAGTAGACTAACCTGCAGTTCCTGAATACCCCGACACAGTGAGTATGTATTTATTGTATTTATCTCCAATATAAAATGTGGAGTACTGAGCGTATGCTTCATCGCGATCGAAACTTTGTAGTTCAACCCGAAGTTCCTGGTCCTTCTTCTTTGTCAGTTCGTGGATTGCGTCATTTCCTACAAGGAGGTAAAAAGGCATATAAAATTACGATAAAAAATCTTTCTAATGCTTAACTGTAATTTACGTTATATTTAGACAACGAGCTTCCTAGTGTATCGGAGGTACAGGGCGGGGCTTAAGGCGATAGCGACAACCCGAGTCGGGCCCCGTCCTATATCTACGATACTTTATTCAAAATGACTTGTGACAGGTCCTTTATTGACTTTACGTGCGATGTTGGTGTCATTTTACGATTTTAATAACTGGCCTATAAAACCCATCGGCGTTTTACAAAAAATTGCAATATTGGCGGTTTTGGTATGAATGGGTAGGATATGAAAAGAACTTACCATATAAACTTGTAGGTTCCTGGTATTCGTATGGACATTATTATGTATAATATATGCTGTTCCAATAAAGTTTTGTCAAGGTGATGTAAAATTAAATCTGATAGAGGTAAAAAAATCAATATGTCTTCTTTTTACTATTATTATTTTTTTTTCGGTTATGAATTTTCATAGTTTGCTTTTGTATTGTCAATATTTTTCGTTTTGTCGTTCATGAATGTAGTAGCGTTTGCAAATAAATACCTTTTTGACTGGATAGCAAGACTTAAATTGCGACAAAGATACGCACTATATATATGATTTTCATTATTTCGGAACTATGTTAAGAAGACTAGCGTCTTATCTACTTTAGTATTCTACCTATGTCAGAATGATTGATTGATTGTATATTGTTAACTCATATGGAGACGTCTCCACTTGCCGGTGGAGAGCTGCAAAGAATGGGCGGACTTAACTGGCCAGAAAAATGCCGCAAATTTAAGTTTCATAAAATGTTTATTTTTTTCCATCATATAAACCCCCGAAATCTTAACCGTGTATTCATGGTACGGATGTGAATTTAAAACGCTTTTTTTTTAGGTAAACTAAATAAATACCGAAGGCATGGTGCCTGAAGGTTTCTTGAATATCAATAGATAATCAGGGTCACGCGTTTTTCATCGTCTGAATACATAGTCAGGACATGTTTGTCGGCTGTTCTTAAGAAAATTGTAGTTGTATTTTGAACAAAATAATGTTAGATTAAAAGGAGAAGAGCCGACAAACGTGTGCTCACACTTAATTTAACAAAAAACATGTTCGAAAGAAACTTCTAGCTTCCATTGTTATGTCTTCCATTGACCTGTTTAATATTACAATTCATCACGTGATGTCCACCTGCGAGTGTACTCGTGAAAACAGTTACATTGTATTCTTCAACTTGATCTCGTTCTAAATTATGTCTTTGAGCGTATTTTGTTGCCGTTTTCAGAATTTGGCAAACTAAATATTGTTTTAATTTTGCTTTTCATCATATTTTTAAAATAATGACATCACTGTAATATGCTTAACACGTATTCGAATTTATGGGGAGAGAGAGAGAGGGATAGAGAGAGAGAGATTTCAACAATGACACCGATCGATAGCCCCGCCTCCTATAAATATTGATTGTGTGACATAAAAACCAGTCCGTGTACATGTCGAATTCTGGAAGACTATACTCATGTATCGTTGCTTCAATTTTGATACATGACAACATGACATTGTTTTTGTACAAATGCTCCACCTTGTATAACCAAGTATATGTTGATCTTTCCATTGCTCGTAATATATTTTGGATTCACTTCATTTATAGCTTGGTTTTGGAGTCGCAAAAAGATCCAAAACAGGGCGTTAAGTAATAGTTACATGATGACACGAGATGATGCATACAAAATATCGTTGAGTTATTGCACGCGAGGAGGCGTTAGCCTCCGAGTTTGCAATAACGAAACGATATTTTGTATGCATCATCGAGCTGTCAATCATGTAACTGATTTATCCCATGACCCTTCATTTGACCTCTTCCCATATTAGGTATTTTCTTTGCATCAACTAATAAAGACTCTGAATGAGAACCACGTGATAGTCTTAACGCGAAGGGTTTTTGGTATCCAAGTAACGGATTTACAAATTTGGTAAATTTTCTTCGTACTGTACCACGTGAACATTTTCTTGAGATAATCAATTCATTTGTATTCTATGGATTTGGAGAAAGTAGTAGAAGGGGTCTATAGCGTAAAGAATCGCCGTTTTTGCAGCAAGCCTACGACGAGGATAATTTTCAATCGAGTCAAGCAGTTCAGATTGTATGAACTCAGGCGATCGGATTTAAAAATGGCCCATGTGGCCAGGACTTTTATGAATTTCGATTTACAGTGTTGGTGTTTGGGATCATTTCCGGAATTGAAAATTTGAAACGGGAAAATTTTACGGAATGGACTGAAAATACTAGCTATACAGATTCGGAAAATATTTGTCGGCCAGTGAAATAAGTGCGCTTAAAAAATCAAGAAAGTAAAACCACACGCCGTAACACTTCATCAGTTCATGGGCAGTCAACATGGTTCAAGAGTTCAACGACTGGAAATCTCAGCGAAACAACAACTTGGTGAGTTTAAAATAATTCCCGAAATACTCACTTTTATATACCAAGAACTTTCGAACACTATATCATGTTTTGTACACTGTAATTGAAGCCAGGGGCGCATACGGATTTCCCTACCCCCGATCGAGGACTTTATATCAAATCTGTTCCGATATTCTACTGTACATGAGAGCAAGGTGTTCATGAAATGAACTTTTCAGAGGATGCCCAGAAGGAAACTACCATTGAATGTGCGAATTTCTATAGGAGATGAAGCTATCCGCTTCGAGAATTGCTCCGCTAGACCATATCAGTGTCTTTTTTTGTAAAGATTTGTGCATTTTGATTTAAACTGTGTTAACTATCTGTATTGTGTGTTTTTTCTTGTTTCTGTTATTTCATTAAAATCTAGAAACGAATTATTGTCTCATTTGCATAGCTCCTCCTACATCTAGGGTATAACTGTTGGATATCACTAGCTTTATATCACATATGTGATATTTAATATATCGCAACACTTTTGTTGATATGAGAAATACACCCTTGTGAAGATCAAAGAAAAATTTGTCGGTCATGGGATAAGTCCACCCATTCTTTTGATCCTATACTCGACACTAAATGCAGTTGAGCAGGGGGGTCTTTTTCGTGTAAGCACCTACTGCGACACGGGACCTCGGTTAATTCGGTCTCATCCGAAGGACCGGTCTCCCATCCTTCAAAGTCAGAATGAGCAGTATGTTGATATAAACATAATTTGTGCATTAGAAGTAATATTTATACCGTAAATGGTAATGTATCATGATCAATAATACATTTAAGGATGTTCATGTTTATAACGATTTCAAGCATAACACGTAAATGTTTTAAACGGTTGAGAAAAATACCCCATTACAAAGTAATAAATGAGGAATGCAGAGGAAAATGTTAACGACATTGTTCTTTTTATATCAGCCGCAAGCCAGTATATCACCCTTTCTCTCAAATATCTATTCATTAATAACCTAACATTGAAGCTGGAGGTGACTATAGGTTTCCACTGAGACTGTCTGTCCGTCTGTCTGTCTAGCTGTCTGAACGTCCGTCCGTCCGTCTAGCTGTCCCTCTGTCTGTCGGTCTGTTGTCCCACTGGTATTCCGCACTTTTTCTAAAGGCTTGTAGATATCAAAATGATTTTTGGTATTTTAGTGTATCTCAATGAGTTACTGATCAAGTTTGCATTTGTTCCGCGTTATTGATTTTTTCTTCACGGAATTATGGCATTTTTAATTTTTGTCATTGGAATTACGATCGGATTTGTGATGCACTAAATTAATGTTCCAAACGAGCTTGTATGCTGACGAGAAAAGGGGATACCGGTAGGGATGCTTGTTTTTCATGGGCAAAATGTAATATACTAGAATTGTTCG